AGGAATAGCCAATCAGAGACAAGGATTCATTCTATGTCTGCTATACTGTTCATTCTTTTTAAGGCAACATCCTCACATTTTACCTTCACTTTTTTTGGTCTATCTCCAGTAAGAGTTAACATTTGATTTACATCTATTTATATAAATATATAGTGATAATATCAATGGAATGGAAATTTCCTACATATTGGTCCATCTTACATATCACGTAACATATGTAACCGACTGGGTTACATGTTGGTGTTAACTGTTATGTTTTAATGTTACTATGTTAAGACTGTTATGGTGTGTTGTGTTTATTGTAGGCATAGTCTTTTACCTGTAAGAGTTAAGGAGGTGCGGATGTTGTCCTCCTGCTAGTTTTGGTAGAGGTGTGTGGGCCTACGAGCAGGACTTGGTATAATGAGATGCTAATGTGTGGAACACACTGTTAACAGCCAGGTTTTGTTATTTTGGCATTGGCTACGGCCTACAGTAGCCTGTAATTGGTTCTCTAATAAAGAGTGAGCGAAACCAGCTATCTCACTGAGGGAGGCTACAATATTATTTATCATAACCAATGATTTTTCGTCATTTAAAAACATGTGCCAGTAGATTTCTTCTCACCTTTGCAGCCACCTAGGGTCAGTTTAAGATACCTGGTGCTCTGTTAAATTTAAGATTTTTTTAAATGATATATAACTTTTATTCTTTAGTTTGCGAGTAGGAGTAGAAGTGAGAGTTTTTTACTTTTAACTTTAATAACTACCGACCCTGATCTGACTTTAACCTTGCAAGAATAAATTCATCACCATATGTGGCTAAGCCAATTTTTTTTATTTTTTTTTTACCCAAAACAATCACACTACATTTTTAATAGCATGGACCATGAAAGACACAATTACAGAGACCTCTTCAACTTAAAGCACTTGGAGATGCCATCTGTAATCATACATGTGGCGGTAAAGCTTTTGCTTCTTACAGAAAAGTAAATGTTTAAGCCATTGTCAGCTCTCCTCTCATCATATGCGTCACATTTTTGACACACCAACTCTCTTGTACATTTTATTTTTCCATGTCTCCTTGTTTTAATTTGCTGTCAATAGGTGAAGCACTTCTTCTCAGATGGTCCTTTATAGCCAGAGAAAAGCATTGATTTTCTATCTGTCCATTATCCCCCTTCCACTCTGGGAGATTAGGAAGTGTAATCACTGTGATCCTGGGGATTATACAAGCAAAACATATACAACCATGAGGAAATTAGTTGGATGTAATTAGCATAAAGTCTTTCTTTAGGGTGTGACAGGTTTAATTATTTTGTTAAAACAATGCTAAAAATGTGTTATGTGATTTACAGCAGTAAACATATTTAACAGAAGCTCTCTGGTGAACGTTATATATCAGGTTGAGAATGCAGTCCAAAGCCATCCACACGTGTTACGTTATTTTAGATTACTTATTTATCCATCAGTGGTTTAACACTTTGCAAATCCCTGGCAATTATCACTTTGTGGGTGCCCCAGTGCATTTAGCAGGGATGTGTGGTTTGATGTCACAGTGGCAAGGCAGTACAAACAAAGCTTCTTAACTCTCACAGCCTCACTCTTGCTCTCATTCTGACTTAAACACAGACAGGCACACACAGGAACACATGCACACACTCTGGGTATGTGACCCAATTTTAATAGCAAATTGAACTCTAGAGACTCTGTAACCATGGACAAATTACCAACAGTGGCCAATAGATCAGAAAAGGAGGGAGAGGAATAGGTGGAGGTGTACAGCAACCACATCGAGAAGGATAAAAAAATAAATCATGTTTTCTTTGTTTGTTTCTGGACTACTGGCAGTACAAATGAGTCAGTGAAATTAGGGTCCCTACTCATTCCACATCCCCTAAAATTGGTGTAATTTTAACCCAAACTCAGTTGTTATCAAAGAAAAGGTCAAAGCAAGCTACTGGAAGTTTGGGGCCAGTCAACAAACTTTGCACTCGATGTCAAATACACAGGCTAAAATATTAGGACAGTGTCTATTATTATTGTATTTCAATAAAACATAAAACAAAGACAGTATATCACTGGAAACCGATGATATCTTTATGTATAATTTAAACCGAGGTTGCAGTCGAGTCTGTAATGACAACCCCAAAAAATACAGGTGATGGATTAAAATGCTCATTACATTCTAAAAATAAATAAATA